TACAATATTCTGATAGAGTTTGGGATACCCATGAAACTAGTTAGGTTGATTAAAATGTGTTTAAATGAAACGTATAGTAAAGTACGTGTAGGTAAACATTTGTCTGATAAATTTCCTATCCAGAATGGTCTAAAACAAGGAGATCGTTTAATGTCCCTACTTTTCAACTTTGCTTTAGAATATGCCATTAGGAAGTTCCAGGGAAACCAGGTGGGACTGAAATAAAATGGGACACATCAGCTATTGGCCTATGCCGATGATGTGAATCTGCTGGGTGATAATGTAGATACCATAAAGAAGAACACACATACTTTAATTTACACAAGTAAAGAGGTTGGTCTAGAAGTAAACACTGAGAAAACTAAGTATATGTTGCTGTCTCGTCACCAGAATGCAGGGCAAAATCATGATATAAAGATAGGAAACAGATGTTTTGAAAATGTGGCACAATTCAGATATTTGGGAACAATGATAACAGATCAAAACCTGATTCAGGAGGAAATTAAGAGGAGATTGAACTCGGGGTAATGCTTGCTACCATTCAGTCCAGAACCTTTTGTCTTCTCGTCTGCTGTCCAAAAACATAAAAATTAGAATATACAAAACCATAATTTTGCCTGTGGTTCTGTATGGGTGTGAAACTTGGTCTCTGACATTAAGGGAGGAACAGAGACTGAGGGTATTTGAGAACAGTTTGTTGAGGAGAATATTTGGACCGAAGAGAGATAAAGTAACAGGAAGTTGGAAGAAACTGCATAATGAGGAGCTTCATAACTTGTACTCTTCTCCAAGTATAATTAGAATGATCAAGTAAAGGAGGATGAGGTGGGCAGGGCATGTAGCATGAATGGGGGTGACGAGGAATGCGTATAGGATATTGGCGGGAAAGCCAAACGGAAAGAGACCATCGGGAAGACGAAGGCATAGGTGGATGGACAATATTAAAATGGATCTTAGAGAGATAGGATGGGATAATATTGATTGGATTGATCTGGCTCAGGATAGGGACCAGTGGAGGGCTCTTGTGAACACAGTAATGAACCGTAGAGTTCCATAAAATGCTGGGAAATTCTTGAGTAGCTGCAGAATTGGCAGCTCCTCCAGAAGGGCTCAGCTCCATGAGTAAGTAAGGAAGTAAGGCCCTGCATTTTTGGTGTGGTTATTCAATTATTTCTTATGGTGGTAGTTACATACTGTCTCCCAACTTTTTCAACATTATAGTCACTTGTGACATGAGATATTTCACAATTGTTTGTTCTGCATATTTAATTGCTAGTCTTTTTAAGTACACATCCTAACTAGGTGACTCTCTGACACACTGTTCCCTTTCAAACTGGTACTTTTTTCATGATATAATCTGCCATTTTTACATTAGGCAACAGCTGCATTAGCATAGAATCTTGTGATATCTTAAAAAAATGAATTTCCACTTTTGTTTCATAAGTTTGATGGTACAGCGTGATTCAGAAAGATGGACACAATTTCAGTTGGTTATATTTCCTGAACTATATGTTGTATTTGAATTCTATAAAGTGCATTTGAAAGAGGATGTTGTAAAGTTTCTAGTACTACCGCTAGAGCACTCCAGCACCATGTCAGTTGTAAGCGAGATGGCTACTATGCAACACAAGATTTTTTGCATTCGTGAGTTCAGTAAAAGTGAGTCTGCGACTGCGGTGCAGCGTGCATTTCATCATAAGTTTAACATTAAACCTCCAATGAGGAAGAGCATTTATCGTTGAAATAAACAATTTGATGAAACTGGCTCTCTGTGTAAGGGTAAAAGCCCGGGCTGATCGCGTGTATCGGAGGAGAACGTGGAGCGCACTCGAGTGAGCTTTGAGCGTAGCCCAATGAAGTCAACCCGTAGTGCTAGTAGAGAACTTGGACTATTGCAAACAACTGTCTGGCATGTATTGAGGCGCCGGTTAGTGTACAAACTATACCACCTACAACTGGTATGGGCTCTTCGCGCAAGCGATAAGGTTAAGCGTGTAGAATTTTGTGACCGTATGCTCAAAAACCTGGAAGATCAATTGTTTCTGCCTCATGTAATTTTTAGTGATGAAGCTACGTTTCACCTAAGTGGGAAAGTCAACAGGCACAATGTTCGCATATGGGGGCCATAAAATCCCCATGTAACACTCGAACATGTGAGGGACAGCCCGAACATTAATGTGTTCTGTGCAATATCGTTAACAAAGGTTTATGGACCTTTCTTTTTTGATGAAAACATGGTTACTGGAGTAACGTATCTCAGAATGCTGCAAAACTGGCTTGTTCCTTAAATGAATGAAGATTCAGGAGATTACATTTTCGAGCAGGACGGAGCTCCACCCCATTGGCACCTGAATGTTCGACATTTCCTGAATGAATCTCTACCTCAACGATGGATAGGTTGCATGGGGAATGAAGACCTGGCACTTCAGTTCTGGCCACCGAAGTCTCCTGATCTCACACCCTGCGACTTCTTCCTGTGGGGATTCGTGAAAGATGCAGTTTACGTACCACCTCTTCCCACAGATTTGAATGACCTAAGGAACCGTATCACAGCTGCAGTGAACTCAGTGACGCAAGATATTTGTTATCGAGTTTGGGATGAATTCAGCTACCGTCCAGATGTTATCCGTGCAGCCCAAGGGGGTGCACATTGAACATCTATAAACTTCCATGTATGTATAATTAAATATAATTAAATGTAATTTATATAATTGAAATGCAACATATAATTCAGGAAATATAGCCAATTGAAATTGTGTCCATCTTTCTGAATCACCCTGTACTTCGGGCAACTTCGTTGCTTCTGACCCTGAAACATCTCTCATTTTCTCTCTCTCTTAGCAGGACAGGTTGAACTGTGTGATGAACATGCTACAGGCTTAAAATGGATTAGAAACATCTAATACACCATGTTCATTGTGCAGGCTTATCAGATGTCTGCAGAATTTCTCAGTACGTGGTCTCAGCACACACTGTCGGAGTGCCTGGCAAACTGAAGGTCATTCATTTAGTAATCACCTGATCAGTAAGTCAGTGTTAAAGACACTTCATTGTATGGTGCTCTGCTCCATGTCTTTATGGCTCATGTGAGATACAATTTAGAACAAAGAGTTTTCATTTATGATTGTTATGTGAAAAAAAAAACTCATACAAATGGTGCAGGAGAAAATTTCCTGAAACAACACGTCCATCTGGAGAGACAATTTCCAAATTAGTGAAGAAAGTTTGAACCTATGGTATTTTAATTGACAGAAAGCCATTAAAAAGAAGTTGTTTTAACTGAGGAAAAACTTGATGACATCAGTCATTGATTAGAAAATTCTCAAAAATCTTTGCAGCAATTAGCACAGCAAAGTGGTGTTCCTGTAGGCAGTGCATGGAAAGCAAATAAACTGCTGCATATTCATCTGTATAGTTATTGTTCTTCCAGAATTTAAACCTGTGGATTAAGAAAGAGAGAGAGATTTTGTAATTGGTTTATCAGTCATGTGCATGATGAACTTATCAGTCCTCAGCTGACATTTTGCACAGGTGAGGCTAATTTTAATCTCTCAGGATATGTTAACTCACAAAACAACAGGTATTGGAGTAGTGAAAATCCTCATGCCCTAATTCAGTTTCCCTTTTACGACCAAAAGATTGCAATTAGCGTAAACCATACCATTGAGCTGATATTTTATGAAGGAACTCTTGATGCTCAACGATATATTAATGAAATACCCAATACATTTTTCATTAATTTTGCACCTGCAGAAGAAAGATTTGGTCATTTTATGCAAGACCGCGCAACTCCACACATAGCTAACAAAACTGAGTATTACACAGTGTAATAGCGGGAAGTAAATGAGAATAAAATTATTAGCAAGGGTTTGTGGCCCCCTAGATCCCCAGCTCTAATCCTGTGATGTTTATCTGTGGGGAAAATTCAGATGGGTGGTGTATGGCAACAATCCACATGTCCTGGAGGTTCTAAAAGAGAATATTCATGAAGAAATTCACAACATTCAGCAATGTGAACTGCGGCAATTTTCCCAAAATCTGTTTAAAAGAATTCAGACATGTCTCACAGCAGAGGGTACACATTTTGAACATCAGTATAATATTAATTACTATATTTGATTAATAATTAATGAAAGAAGTAAACAATGTGTGCTAGCAGTTCCAGCCACGCGGCAGCATTTTTCTTGGCAAATAGCACAGCACTTTTGCAGGATGTTGCTGACGGTAGAATCAATGTCCAATGAGCCTGCGCTCTGGACACTCAGTCTATATAGCACTCATATTCATGATAACACATAGTTTTCTAACCATTAAAATGGGGGTGGGGGGGAAGCTGACATCTCATTCAGGCAAACATGATACCAACCTTTATTTACATGATGCATCCTGTATATAAAAATGTTTATTTCATACTTCAGTCAACACAACAATTTATAAAAAGTAAACAGGTGACCTATTTACCTGATGATGACCCATGAGGGGCTGAAACATGTGCTTTAGATATACAACCTTCATGTAAATAGGTCACAAGTATACTTTTTACAAATTGCTGTTGACTGAAATATGAAATAAACATTTTTATGACACCAACCCTGATGTGCAAAGCAAAAGCAGTTATCAGAAAATTTTCGAAGTGTGAGAATGAAAAATTAACAACCGAATCAAGACCAAGAAATCTCTTCATTCAAACCTGAAAATCTGAGACACATGCATTCCTATTATACACTTCTAGTAATGTCAGCAATAAAAAGTTATTGCAGGCAACACATGCAGTACAAACAGGGCATGCAAGACTAATATGATTCTTATGTGGAATATCATGGGAAAGACAACTTGGAAAACCAGTAAGTAGACAGAATGGTAATCTCATAAAAATGTATTCATTCAAGTTCTCTAAATAGGGTTAAGCTAATGTGAGGTAGTGTGAGGTGATCAGCTATCACTGTAGTAATGATGAACCTTCCAATTTCAACTTAGTACTTTCCACAAATAACAAATAAGAATGTGGTAGCTCACATTTATTGTATCATAAAAACAATTATATACATAATATAAATACAACCATATCAATTATAGAAGGGATTGTAAGTAACCCAATGTGCTTTGTTTTGTTGCCGGGCTTTCTGATGGGTTGTGAACAACGATTTAAACACATCAGTCGCTTTTGGATCATTTGCCACACTGTAAGATCCTTTTGTCTTCTTAAATACTGGGTCTTCAAGGTTTACTTCCACTGGTCTCTTGGTTGGTATATTTGGTACCTTATCTCTGACACCTGTAACAAAAGAAAATGTGTATATGAAAATCTTTATCTATGTTCAATTCAAGTTTTAAGTACAAAACAAAGAACAAGCATCTGCCACTGGCATTGTGTAATGGCATAGTTTCCAATGGATTAGAGAATTTAATCAACACATACTCCTAACACAATGTGAGCAACCTCTTACAGCAATTTATAATCTATCCTTTTTCCAACTTGGTACCTCGCCATCACCAGGCCAATTCACATAAGCTTCAGCATACGCATGACACTGAACAATATGGAACACTAAAAACATACCAAAGCTAAATTGTATACAATATGACAAATGCAGCATTTGGCATACTCTGAACTCCATTCAGATCTGCACACATGAAAATACTGAATTACTTGAAAACACAACAACTTTCTGAATGTGCCTTGGAAAAGACACAAGACTTGAATCATCTATTACAATGACATGTCATACTAGCTAATTTCCTTCCATTTTGTATTTTTAGTGTACAATTTAATCAACATCATAACATATTTCAGAGTGAGAATGTTCAGAACTTCAAACTGGTGTACAGTTTCACTCCTGAACAGCCTACGTACACTCAATCTACAGTGTACCTCTACAGGTTTTCCTGCCTCAAAGCAAACCATCTGTTAAACCTTTCCAATCATACTCCTATTTCAGCCAAACTGGAATGCAAATAGATACTATAAGGTTCTGACGATGGTGTATAACACACAGAGATACTGGGTTTTCAGACTTTGTCCATCGTCCGGATTCTAAATAACTAAGATAAAACACAACGTTTCAGAAACTGAATGTTTCCATCCTCAGGTGAGGGAAGACACCTACACCTGAGGATGGAAACAGATCCAGTTTCCGAAATGCTGTGCTTTTTCTTAGTTATTTAGAATCTGGATGATGGACAAAGTCCGAAAATCCAGTATCTCTGGAATGCAAGTGTATATACCATTTTTGCCATATTCACACACCTACAGAGAGCCTATTAAAATTGGTCAGCCTGTACATCTCTATATGCATGAAACAAATTGAAAATTGATGAAAAGATTGTCATGAAATTTGAGGTTAGGGATTTTTGTTAAAGTTTGTCAACACATTCCAATATCTGTCACAATCATACAACAACAAAACAACAATATCAACAGATATTTTATATGAAGACATGTATTGCTGCTCACATCTCAAGTATAACTCACTAAATATGAAACATGAATATTTTATGTCAAATACACTTCTTCTGAAAGTCTCATTATTTTCAAAACAATAAAACAACACAATGTGAATGGACCAGACATACATTTCCAAAGTTGTATATTCAACAAACAATGGTCTTCTGAACACAGAAGACGACTACCAAAGAACCTTTTTTTTTTTTATTTTTTTACAGGTCCCATTATTTCAACCCCAATGTTTCTTGCATAAAAAGTGGAAAACCACCACACAGAAGCAAAAAAAGACTGCATTCAGAAACAGAATACCAACTGGAAGGCAGTAACAGATCAAGTGCGCCACAATTCTTATTCTGTGTGTGTCTAGCTTGCTAGAAATATAATATTGCATGGATATGAGAATGTGTATTTTCCTCATCTAACTGCTGAATATACAACACAAGAACGCTGTTAGAACAAAAGAATGATTAATCATATCATTGACACTTTCCAGTGTTCATGTTTATCTAAAATTAATATCTACTTTAAAATCATGCTTCATCAACATACCATTCTTTGCCTTTAGGTCTGATCTCCCATTTTGTAATTTTGATTTCTGGCTCCCTTTCTCTCCATTAGCAGATGATTTGGCCTCTTCTTCAGGATTCTGGTTTTTGCTTGAGAGCTCAATCAATTTATTTGCACTGTCCTGGATGTTATTTGATGCTTCTGTTGATGAGGCTGTTGCATCAACTTTCCCTCTACGCTTCGCATCATTACGAGCTTTCTTCTCAGCTTTAAGGCGGGCCTGGCGAGCCTCTAGCTTTGTCTTCATTACATCCAAATCTTCAGATGTTCCATTTAGAACCACTACGTCTTCCTGCGAGAAAGGCTGCTGGCACTGTTGGGAAGAGAAAAAATGGCCCTCTATAAAATCCCAGATGTACAACTCGTACCCATATTTTGACATATGCCTTTCCAAATTTTGTGTCAGGAAGTCATCAAATTCAAACTAGTACCAATCCTTTCAAAAGATTAAAATTCATTTAAAAGCAGAAAGGAGAAAATTTGAGTATCTACTGTGATGGCAAGTTCTTGTAAACAATTTATTTACTTTAAGAAATGTACTGTGATGACTAGTTCTTGTAAACAATTTATTTGCTTTAAGAAATGTTAAGTCCATGTTTATAATGCATGGTATATTAGATGCAATGCCTAGACTCCCTTTTCTTAGCAAATGATCACTAAGGTTATAGCAAACATGCCACTTTTATCACTCAAGAAGATCCTGTTTAGAGAACAAAGAAATATATATTACACTCAAACGGGGAAATAAATACTATGAAAATTAAACAAATGCAATATAATTCTAGTTCTTAGCTTTTCACAGTTGCAACTTAATGTGTAGCTTGGGCTTTGAGGACCAGGCCATGTCGAATGCTGAAAATTTCCAATTGTTTTGGCAAACCCTGCAGTTGCCAGCCTCCTAGTTAACGATTTGTGTGGGGGGGGGGGAGCTTTCATGTATCTCTTGCATTAGGCAATGTTTTGGGAACTGACACTGTGATTGCCAAACAGTAGAAAAGGATGCTAACCAATGAGAAGCAACCATAACAAGAAGTGGTAAGTGTTTCCGAGTTCATTTGGACTGCACTGCACCATCCTTGTAGTGTTCTCGTCGTCGTCGTCATCATCATCATCATCTCTCTACTCGTATATCTCATATCTAATCTCCAACATTCCTCAACAGTGGCAAGCATGTTTTTGTTACAAACTCCCATTTATAAGGTGTATGTCTGCAAATTTTTTGTTATTAAATGTAAAGGGCATATATGCCATTCAATTCTCCACTACCATATAAATGTTATGCCACACACATTGTTACCATCCCCCCTTCTTTCTTTGTACTCATATTCTGGCTTAGGTAGACCACTTGACTCCTATCAGTATCATGTTATGACAATAACTGAGGCAACCGGAAACTGCATATCTGAAGTCAGTCCACTGCTCAAAATCATCAACTTCCACTGTGCACAAATTGTTTATTTATTCAGAAGGAAAATATTATAACTTCATTTGCAAGCACGGAGTAATAGGGCCCTTTATTAATATCAAATTTTAACGATTCAAAGTGAAGGACTGATGAATTTAGAGAAACACAGGAGTGCATACCAATGACATCTGCCTCCGATTAATTCAAAATGACAAGTTTTGAAGACTGGTATCCTGCAGGAGCAGTGCTTCATCTCCTAAGAATGATTTGAATCGACAGCCTCTCTCCCAGACAAGAATTCAGTTCCTATTAGCTGATTTTAACTAGCCAAATTCATCATGCAATCAACACAAGCCAACCACATAAAGACCATTAAGATTTAAACAGTTCCCAAGATAGAGAACTCGGAACCCCACATGTGAGAGCCATTATTTTCTTTAGTTTAGGGTCCAGCTACACCCTTCCAAAGACACTTTACGACAGCTACACATGTCAACAAAACAGATTTCACATCTTTGGAAAACTACAGACTTGCCTCCCATGGCAACCTTGTCCCTTTCCAGTCATCCAAACTGCATATAAACAAAAACAAGGCAGTTGTTTTCTGTCCAGATATGAAAAACAAGCCATAACATGCTAATAAATTGGTCTCAACAATAAACCAGTCACCCTTCTAAAATGGCTAAAGAGGACCCTAGCGTCCATGGAGAACTGTAACAGGTGTGGACTGTCACAGCATACACAGTACAACCTAACAACTGGTTCGATACTGCAGTATGAACCTGCATGGACCATTTTCTCCTGCCCATTCAGAATGATATCCATGCTGGTATTGTATTTTTTCACTAAAAGAAACAGGAAGAGCCTCCTGAATTTCATAAAACTGTGAAACACTCTCTATATACGGCAGTAATCAGACATATGCTCATTTAGCCACACAGACATAAAACACTGGTTCCACGCAGAACGACAATGTTCTAACGATTAAAATATCTCCTCATACTTTATACAACGATGGGGATGTTAAAATACATACATTTTTAGCCACTTATATCAAATCCTATCCTCTATCAAAGAAAACATTGAAACTATAATAAAATGTTTACTCTCACTAATATTACTGGTCTGTTTAACCAAAATACAAGAAACTGAAACAGTTCTTCCTTTGTTAGTTTGTCTGCTTGCTTTACATCATTCACAATTTTAGTAGTTTCCTACCTTATGGCACAGTTTGGATTCTACTTCTTTGAGAGCTCTTTCTGACATGACACAGCCACAACCCCAGAGGAACACAAAACGAAACTTCCCATTCATCTCAAGTCCAACTACTGGGCAGATGTATGGTGCTGACTGGCGATCAACATATGAATCGCCTTTCTCTGCTGATGACTTAAACGATGGATTTGGAGTAAGCTGCAAATCCTTAACATCCTGCAATGTAAATAAATACAACTTATGTCAATAATTATAAATGACTTTCTTCTGATAATGCATAAAATTCACATACAAATAAACAAAAAAACTGACTGCACATATGCTAAATCTGAACTACAAATTGCAATTGGCTCACTTCAACTAGGGTTCTGCGGATGACTTACACCATGGTAGTGATAAACTAACTTCATGGAGATGAGCTCTTCTTGAGAAGCTGCCAGTTGTGCAGCTACTCAAGAACTTCCCAACATTTTATGAAATGCAAATGTTCAATACCATCTTCGCAGGAGCCATACACTGGTCCTTATCCTGAGCCAGATCAGATCAGTCCAGCCCATGCCACCCCATCCTATCCCTCTAAGTTCCATTTTAATCTTATCCACCCGCCTATGTCTTAGTCTTCCCAGTGGCATCTTTCCTCCTACCTTTCCCACCAAGATCCTATATGCATCACTCTTCTCCTCCATTTGTGCTACATACCCTGCCCATCCCATTCTCCTTGACTTGATCATTCTAATTACACTTGGCAAAAAGTACAGGTTATGAAGCCCCTCACCATGCAGTTTTCTCCAAACTCCCATCACTTCATCTCTGTTCAGTCCAAATATTCTTAGCAACCTGTTCTTATAAACCCTCAGTCTATGTTCCTTCCTTAATGTCAGAGACCAAGTTTCACAGAACCACAGGCAAAATTATCATGGTAGTAATGGTAAAAATGGTAAAGCTATCCCTGTAACAAGCCATGAAGGCCCATAGGGTTGTAACACATCGAGGCTCTCACATTTTCTCTTGACAATTGGCTCACAGATGGTGATAAGGTAGTCATAATAGGACTGCAACATGTACTTCAGTTTTAGCTGTTATTTAATATTTCCTTCACAAGCCAACTTAAGCTAACCAATCTACAGGTTAACGTTTACAAATTTTTTTTACCTTCAAATTTTTTATATGCTGTGCTGTTTCCGGTAAATTGCTCCTGTCCAAAACCGCTTCAATAACTGAATCTTTGTTATATAATCTCCCCATACCACATGCTACAACTGGGGTCTGAAGAGGTTGCTGCGTGATACTGCAATGATTCCAACGAAATGACAACTCGGAATCTTTATCCTTCTATAAAGAGAAAGAAGATATTTTTGTCATAAACATGCATCAGTGTAAACAGCCATAACTTTTAACAAAATCACAATATGAACGAAACAGCAACAAAACAAATTTAACAACTTACCTGTTCTACTTTCTTTTTCTTTCTCACCAATTCGTCGCGTTTGGGGATAGTTCCACCGTCACAACCCATATTTCCAACGTATAAAAGTTACAATGACGTTTCCACACGAACTCTATTAGCAACACGACTAACAAATGGCGGCCGGAAACGGATACGCGTAATATAAAATGGAGTCACTCTTAGGGTAGCCAACGTAATATTCCCAAATAATATGGGCTCCGAAATAGAATTAATTTCCTACCTTCAACAACACAGTCATTCATTCAGTACATGTGTTAGTATTGTGCATTATCCTTTATTGCATTGAAAACAATTTCCTAAATAATGTCACGTATTTACGCCATGCAAGAATTGTTGAGCCAGAGAAATCAGTAAACACGGCGATTACGCAACAATAAGGAAGCGGTGTTTCTTTGTTCTTTGCAGAGCCGCACCGCACGGTTTCCTAGGCAGCGCAACGGTAAACACATCTCGGCAGCAGGTAATCAGCGCGGTGATTACGTAACAGAAGAACAAGCTGCGTTTTCCGCGTGTCCGTGCGAGGGTTTGTAGGCGAGACTGGTAATACTGACAACACTTGCGGTCAGGAATACGACCGTTCAAGTTGACTAGACTGCCGTGGTAGCGAATACTACAAGAAATAGGGTATAATCTGCTGTACTGAGCCCGGATTGACAGAGGCCTTGTACATACATACATACATACATACATACATACATAGCTACATGGTTTCTCAGATCCTTTGTCCGGATACCGAACTGGATATTGACATCCTCACAGCCAAACTGACATTGCAATGTGCA